CATCGCAACGCTCACGGTATGTCGTGGTGTTAGGCATGCTCAAAAACCTCTTGTGAATGGTCCCTGAATGTTTTCTAATGCTAAAATGTCCACTTTTCTCAGATTACTGTGCACTATCGTACAGTACTCAATCTTCAGCCTAATCTACATTTTAACGGCTTGAAGCCTGGAATCCAACCAGATAAGAGTTAGGCTTATGTAGGCGATAACTTTCCTAGCGGAAGCCTGCTTGCTCTAAAAAATTAAATGAGGCAGTATATCTTATACCAAGGTCTCGGACTGCGCCACACACATGAATAGGGGTGTCGTTTGAGGTTAGAATGTTCGGAGAAGGGCCACAGCTGTGATACAATAAATTAAACTAGTCAGTGGCAAAGTGCAACTTCCAGGAGTTACTCCAGTGCCCCAATGCGGACAAGCCAGACTGAAATACAGGCTAAATAAGGAATAGGTAGCCCAGGGGCAGAATAACAAACAAGTTTAACACCATCAGCGAAGAGAAATGGCTTCCCGTAAAAGATTTCATCAAGGAGATTATTGAAATTGATTAAGAATAAAAGCGGGCCTAGCACGCTAACTTGAATCATTACACTAGTGATTGCAGTGAACCCGGGCTTGATGTGTTTCTGCGGGTATGATACACGCACTCACCCAATCAAAGGTACTTCACCAAAGTCTAAGAGCTAGGAAAAAGGAGTTGTCGTCAGCCATCTCCGTGCATCTAAAGCAACTTGGTCAGTATCCGGGAATCAGATAAAAACATAAAAGAAAAAAGGAAAGCATATAATGGTGATTGAAACCTGGGCTGAAGGGAATCGCCTACCCCGTGCGGTCGATCAGGCAATCGATCGAGCGGACGAATGCGTTTTCAAACACCCAGCTAATTGTACTGTTGCCTCAGAGTTGAGAGGGCAGTGTTTTCGGCGGCATTATCTGGCTACGTTGGCAGAATTTTTTGTTAACACGTTTTTCGTGGTCAAGAATGTTGGGATTTTGATTTTTCTTCGGCTGGGCTAGAATTTAAACGGAGAAATTTTTGGGCGGTTAATTCGGAATAGCGAAAAAAGTGAAGATCTAACAATGGCGACGGACAAGCACGGAAATGTTACAAATTGTTCTACCGAACATTTTCAAAAGCTGCTTCTTCAGCAACAATCCCAGATGGAAGCACAGATGAAACTGATTGAAAGTTTAACGCAGTGCTTAAACGTACAATCAAACGGAGCAGCTACACGGGACACGCAGGCTGTTTCACTTGATCTTCTTACGAATTCAATCACTGCATTTCATTATGATGCTGGTTCCAAATCCACTTTCGATGCGTGGTTCAAACGTTGGGAGGATATGTTCCAGACGGATTTCAGCCGTCAAGATGATTCATGGAAAGTGCGTCTTTTGCTCCGCAAGCTCGGTACTAATGAACATACATGATTCCTTGCCCATATATTGCCCAAAGAGCCGAAGGACATCACTTTCAATGAAGCAGTGGCAACACTCAAAGAAATTTTTGGTGAGTCGACATCTTTGTTTAGCATTCGCTATCAATGTCTAAAAATTGTTAAGCGTGATATAGACGATTATGGGGCACTAGCAGACATGGTTAACCGTGAATGTGAACGTTTCAAGTTATGATGTTTGACGGATGGCCAGTTTAAGTGTCTTATATTTGTCAGTGCTTTACAGTCTCCAAGCGACGCGAAAATGCGCACTCGACTCCATGCTAATTTGGATCAAGACCCAGATTTGACATTGAAGTCTCTTGTAGGTGAATGCAAACGGTTAATTACCTTGAAACACGACACGGCTATGATTGAGCAGAGTCGCCCCACCATTGCCGATACTGTTCATGCTGTGCAAAAAGCAAGAAAATCTGGCTCGAATAAGTCGTTCAACAGAAAGCCGAACAAGCCGCCTACACCTTGTTGGTCATGTGGTGAATGGCATTTCGCACGATACTGTCCATTCAAGCGTCATATTTGTGATAAGTGCCATAAACGCGGCCACAAGGCTTTTGTCATCAGTCTCCGCCAAGAAACATGAAGTAGTCCTACCGAAGGAACAACTTCAGGAACCCTGACGCAGAATCACTATAGTGGATTGCCACTTTTCACAGCGATTCTAGAACACGCCGCCGATTTATCACTGTGCTCATCAACGGAATCCCAACCCGGCTGCAGTTCGATACAGCATCAGATATAACGATCATTTCCAAGAACACTTGAAAGCACATAAAGAAGCCGAAGATGATTGATTCCAACAAAGTCGCTCACAATGCATCCGGTGGAGTGCTGAAGTTGGTCGGAGAAATAAATTGCAAAATTGCATTCAACGGAGTGGAAAAGGCCGGAACCTGCTACTTGTCTGATCGACCAAACTTGAACCTCCTTGGGCTTGACTGGATGGAAAAATGACAACTGTTTGATGTTCCAAATGAGTCAGATTTGCAATAGAGTACAAACCGACCCAGTACCTTCATCATTGTCGATAGAAGAGATGACCAGGAAGCTAAAGCAGCAGTTTGTCGCCTTGTTTGAAGATGGTCTAGCCACTGCACTAAGTTCACAGCAAAGTTGTGTCTTCGTGAAGGAACCAAGCCAGTCTTTAGAGCCAAAAGACCGGTACCGTATGCAGCCATGACAGCAGTTGATCAGGAGCTCAACTGACTGGAACGAGCCGGTGTCATCACACCAGTGAACTACTCTTCATGGGCTGCGCCGATTGTTGCATCATCATCATCATTATACATGTCAGCTAGAGGTGGTGAAACACCTCCGCTATTGTACCGCAATACATAAAGGAAATACATACAATACATAAAGGAAAAATAAATACGACAGTTGGATGCCAGCTGAGCTACCAGCAACGGATAGGCATCGTTCCGGTAAGCTACCAGCCAGCTACTAGGCAAAAAGAGAAAAAATATTATGTTTTACCCTACGAAATGAGATCGTAGATGGAGGGGGAGGCTAAAAGGGATGGGGAGGGACAAAGAAACTCACAGCAGCAAACGCCACTGAGGTCGGCTCCTTGCCATGTCAGCAAGTGTATTCAGCCAAACGTGTTCACCGTCTTTTGGACCCCAAGCAAGGAACCGTGAAGCTCCAACCGAGGCTAGCTCCGAGGTGAGGGACTTCATTCCCCTGGACCAAGTCATCGCTTGGCCACCTCTCCTCTTCTTCCATCCACATCCCCGGTGAGCAAACAACGCACGTCGCGGGAGTCGGTGGGCTGGCATGCGCAACACGTGGCCCAGCTATCGGAGCCTGGTGCTAGAAAGCCGAACGGTAAAGTGCGAGTCTGCACCGATTTTTCGACTGGCCTGAATGCCGCATTGGACGACCATCAGGGGACCCTTTTGCTGTCTCTTCACCTGTGTGAAGGCCGACTACCGATCGATCGAAGTATGACACGTTCACTGCGGCTGTGGTGTCTGACTAACGTCCAGTTCTCACAGCCGAACGGCTTGCGTTACGTTGATCATGCTCTGCGGTCAAGGCATGACAGGTCGATTGCGGCTGTGGTGTCTGTTAACGTTCACTTCTCACAGCCGAATGACTCGGTGTGTCCTGCGATCGTAGACACACATGCCGCTCCTCTGTGCTCCATTTCACCCCTTCCGGCAGAGGAATTTGCATCTGAGTGCAGCCACTTCCAGCTCCGGACATGGTTAATAAAACACCTTGTACAGTCAAGCGTACTGTTGGTGACCTTTATCACTGACAATCTGATCCCTGTCTGCCTTACGTTAACACCAGTGTGTCAACCTAATCGGAATCATACCTGTCCACCATAGACGCATACATCTAGCCCTGTGTTTACAAGCAGAGAATCCAATTGGATGACGTTCCATGGCCAATGTGAGTTTCACCGATAGCGTGTGCATGTAACCGTTCAGGGAGAGAAGGAATTGATGCCCGCGTGAACGTGAATGAACAACACGTCATTTTGTTACTTTAACAAGCGTGAAGTTGCCTGTATAAAGGTATAGAAGACGAGCGTCTATCAAATTAAGTTGGGAGGGGGTCCAAAATTGGCGGGTTGAAAACAGGGGAAGTTGAAACGGGACGATAAGGATGAAAAAGCGCAAAAGGGAGAAGACAGGAAGACTTGGGCAGTTGAATCCAAACTCCCTGCTCGATGCAGGAGATAGAGCGTCTTTGATTATCCTATGCGACGACCAGAACATGAAAAATAGTTTGTGCATTGCATATGCAAGATACTCTCAGCTTGTTCGAGACCTGGATGGAATAAGGATTAAGGTTCACAACAAAAGTCTTGGTTCAAAAACCTGACCGTAAGGCAGTAGGATAGAGTAGGGTTTGAAGAGTAGGGAGCCACCCACATACCAACCCCAAACCTGGAGGGCCAGGAGACAGAGTGTCTGACGTCTAACCATTGACCAGTCTGGTGTGAGTGACTGAAGATGCAAAGAGCACCAGCCAGCACAGCTCAATGGCTAGTTGAGGCATGCAAACCATCGCACCCCGGTAAGATTAAGTTATATTGTGATGGATAGTAAACAACAGGATTAATGTGACTGCGTAATGGTGCGATGTTTGAAACAAAACGTCGACCCGTTGCCCAATGTGACTTCTGGCTACTTCGTGGGTCCATTAGTCTCAGTCTGACAAGGTACCAGAAGGTATGGCAAGCACTAAGTGGTGTTGAACAAATTCCATATCAAAATGAAATAACTAAAAGCATCGTGAAGGAGAAACCAAAACTAAGCAGGGCAACGTGGTCCGCTGAACAAATCGGATGGCGCATGCTTGGTGCGTAGCTGTGGTAGCGACGTCGACATTTCACCTACAGTAGTGAGAGACGCAATAGTTCTGGTAAACACTCCAAAGGTACGATGCATTTCGTTGACTAACCTACGGATCAGGAAGAAAAAATTGATTTCAAACCTGATGTTATTGAAAAATATGTCGTTAGGCGTAGAAAGGCCAAAGTGTATCCATGGGGAAGATTTCGAAATGTGTAAAAAACAAACAACATACCAATCCTTGCTACGTCCTCTTCGTTGCGATTGAATTCGTGTATCCTAGCAGCAACCAGCAGAGCAGCAGCAGCCAATCCGCTAGGTCTGCGGCCGGTCGCAAGCCAATCCTTTTTCATCCGCTGAAGTAGACGCATGGCGGTTGTGGCAACCGCGGGCATTTTGTCACCGAATTCCAGTTGGCTAGCAAACCGCTCTATGTACAAACACGGGTCTAGTTTGAAAAAGATCAGCGCAGAAGGAACACAGGAACAATCACTCAGCACATTTCGCAACTAAGCTTCAGACTTACTTCATAAATGTAAGTAGAAAGATGGCGAAGAAAATAATCGGAACGAAATGGAACTGAGCGAAAATGTAGAGTGGGTGAATCTCGGACAGCTTCAAGAAAACAGTACTAAACTAATAAACAATGTGTCAGATGTACGATGTAACGGCGCTTCGGTGTCGCGCGACCACCAACAGTCGCGCGTGGGCTGAGTATACCGCGAGAACGCCTGCTCTTACGCGGATCCGAACCGCTGACGTTATGATTGAAAGTCAAACGTGCAGACAACGCGGCCGCCGGAGAAAAGTATTAGATAATGGTAAATAATGATGCGCAACGTACCCATTTCCGGAATCGAAAGATGTAAATGTCGCTTCAGATCGGAATAACAATGCCCAAGGACGTATACGTTGATGCCGACAGCGTCACTCAAATCAAGCAACATAAGGTTGACATGAAGCTGTCTGGCAGCCAGATATACGCATCCGGCTGCCACTTGGAGTGCGCCTCGACCTCGAGTAATACCGCGAAACAAAGCACTTTGGTAGTAACGAAAGGCAGACGTGGCGATGTCGCCTCCAAGTCTAAGATGACCACATATCGTGTCAATCCTCCGACGAGCTGAAAATACACGAAGACAAGAAAATTAGAAGTAAGACCAACAATCTGCGCCTGAAATGGAAATAAATGACGTCAGCTGACCCGCAGTAAAAGTCAGTGTCCAAGAGTGATGATTTAACCCCAGGCATATTCATTAATTTATTGTCGGAAATGAACTTGACGCCAAGTTTAGGCAATCAACTGAAGACTTATTGGACTCAAACTCGGAGTTTCCACCAATAGCGAGACGTTAATTGAAGGTATAAGTCAGTAAGTACAATATAGGAGTCTAAACAAGAACGGTATAGAAGTTGGTATTAGGATACATCCACCAATAACAGCAGTCAAATTACTTCCTCACGACGTCTAGCCACAGCTGTTAAGCTAACACGATCCAAGCCTGAAGTGTGGCAGACTCAGCTGTTGTGATTCACATCACCATGATAAGTACAGTCAAGCAATGACAGAAATGATGAGAAGTGTAACGAAAACAACAAAAGCGGTTCATGACAAAATGGAATAGCATTGATAAGAATGGGAGGCTAAAAGCTAGATGTAACAGATGGAATGCAGGAGCTCCGTTGACCCAGCGGTCGCGCCATTTTGCGTGAGGCCTTCAACGCTGATCTTACTGATCACGAGGCGACCATCTAGAAAGAAAGCATGCATCAACCTGACCAAATCTGTCATTCGATTAAAACTCTTTTCTGGAACTACACTTGTCATTCGCCTTGCTAGGTGGGGCGGACACAGATATGCAAACCAAGGTACAAGAGAAGTACGCCAGTGGGCCGCATGACGTTTTACAATAAAGAGAGACCACCACAAGTTGCGCGCGGGATGATGTATTGCGAAACCGACCACGCTCACTTATATCCGGAACGGTGACGAGATAGACGCTTAATTCTCTTTGGCCGTTGGCTGGTGTACGCAAACCAAGGCGGGTAGTCAATAGATACAGTTGTTTTCGAATGAAACTCGACAAAGCCACACTCAGTCAGTCACCGTACACATCTACTTGGCCGTTTCATACGTTCGGAAATCGTCAGCAGAAGAAATACACACTACTGACGACCTGCGGAAGAACAGAACGGCTGTTCAGTGCTTTTCCGAACTTGCAGAAGATGCCGGATTGAGTGTGACGTATCCCTTTCGAAAAGTTCTTCAACTCACGCAACTCCCTAAAGTAGGTAGTTGGGTCCAGGATAAAACACGCGGTCAAAGTCAAGCAATCCCCAACGTGACATCAGGGCGCTTGTTTTCAAGCTCTAACTGTCTTAATAGTACTGCCCATTCATTGCGATTACCACGTATGGAAAACGCACCGCAAACATGTGATGTAAAAAATGTTCGATTTCCTGCCGTCGGTGTAGTGGCCATGCCTCTAACCCATGGTCACGCAATATCGTATCTTTGCACGTTTTGCTCTTCACCTATAATTCCTGGAGAAGACAACAGAAACAAAAAGCAACCGACAATCTTGTTTTCAGGGCTTCATTATCAGGCTATTACAATTAGCTTTGTTGTGATTGTAATAGCCTGATAAGCTAGTTCACTACCTTATGCCCCTGACTTCTTCACCCATAAGCAGATGTCGCAAGGAAAGATAAAACTAGTTACATTGAAGTCCAAAGCAACCTAGTTGTAGGCATGAACACAGATGATAGAAGTACACAGCTTAGTAAATCGAGCGACTCCTTTCAGTGGGTGTTCGGCGCTAATTAGATGTGGCAAGTTGCCGGTTCTATCCCGCAGCAATAGCTTGCGAAGGTAAAAAAAAACACCAAGGTGTGCAATACATTACGTTAGTCCATTCCCCAGCGTCTGTACGGGGTCTGAGTCCGACACAAGAGGAATAATGTCGGCCGTGTACTTCCCAACTGCTACTTGTTTACCTGGAAAAAGTTTTAGCCCAGTAGAGAGAGAAAAGACAAAGCTGTCACTGACGAAATATATGATAAGGTTGAGAAGCAGCGGGTAAACAGAGCACTCCAATCGCACTAGACCGAAAGTGCAGAAGTCTGGCGACAGTCCTCTGCAGAAGCAAAATACGCCACGAGGGTGTATTATCATCATCAATACACGTTAGCCTAGGGTGAGAAACACACCTCACCTAATGCGCCGCAATACCAAAAGATAAGATATTAAGCAATTTAGACTTAAAAGCTATAAAAAAGTAACAAAAGACTAAGATCACATTTTCGATCGCTGTTAGAAGAGAAAGCTAAAGGGAAGGGGAAGGACAGAGAGACTCACAACACAAACGTCACTGAAGTCGACTCTTCGCCATATCAGCTAGTGTATCCAAACATACGTATTGATCGTCCTTCGGTCCCCAGTCAGGCAGTCGGGAAACACCAACCGATGCCAACTTCGAGGTGAGGGATTTCATTCCTCTCGACCAAGTCATCACTTGGCCTCCCCTTTCCCTTTGTCCATCCACACCAACGGTGCGCAAACCAAGCACTTCGCAGAAGGCGTTAGACCGGCATGCCTAACATGTGGTCCAGCCATCGGAGCCTGGTGCGTGATATAACGGTGCTGAGCGGTTCACTCGCTCTTCCTGAAACAAATATGCGACGCCAAAAACGCTCATTGTTCATGGGGTGCTTCTAACAGACATGAGCTCGGTTGCGAAGGCAGCGATGATTGAAGCTGAGTAGCCTCTTTATGTCTGTCGACTTGATGGGTCAAGTATCGTAACCGTACAGGGCTGTACGGACGGTCACGGCCAGTAGGGTAGCGCAGGGGGCCATTTTTTTCCTGATCCACATCAACGAAGTACCTCAGTTTCTTCGGTCGCCTTGTGCCTTGTTTGAATACAACCTGAAGATATGGACAGTAATGGATGCTCCCAATGACTGCCACGTACTTTAGCATGACACCGATCGCAACGTCCAGGAGATCTGCAGATGTCCATCTGGTGGTCAACTCAATCGTTATTTACGAGCCCGGGGATTGCACGCCTGCGTTGTAATCGGGAGGTCACCGGTTCGAATCCGCGGTATAACCAGTCCCCGCGTGATTCTTGGCGATCGCGTAACAGCAAAGCGTCAATCTTGTGTGCCAGCCTATTGCTGATGCCTGACTACGTGACCAGAAAATGTCCCCGCCAAACAGAAGTGCATGTCATATGGGTAAGTGTCACGACTTCTTCCGATTTTACTCACTAAATCATGCTAACACTGAGGTTGATTCGATTTTGTAGCAGTTGGGCTTTCCTTGTACCAGTGAATGTGTTGTCGCATGCTTATCAGTTATTTCCGCATCCTATGGTGGACACGCCAGTGCGGTATGTAAATGTTGACAAAGGCGCTAACCGTCCGATGCCCCTACCTAAGACAGTAAGTCACGGAGGCTGACGGTTGTGACTGGAGTAAACAGGATGTAGTTTTTAAGGCACTACTAAGCTCAAAGAGTGGTTTGACCATTGAATTAGCTAAGGCCCATTAGGCACTTCTCCCCTAATGTTACATCAGTGAGGTCCATGTTGACGGAATGTAAGCAGTTTCCGTCTACAAGCCACCCAGACTTCTTCTTTCAAGTATACTCTAGATATGTTATATTGATGGGGCTATCAGTAAGGCAGCGCAAGCGAATGCAAGTAAGAAGGTGCTCCGTGATTGTTCTTAGTTGTACTAAAAATCAAATTCAAAAGGGAATGTACAGATTACTGCCCCGTCATTTGAAAGGTTTCGCCACAGATATGATCCATACTCGGCTATTTGTGGTCCGCACTGGATGTGAGGTATGTTCTATAGACTAGAAGCTGCTCGGCCAGCACTGCTGTATGGAGAAATGACATTTCATTATGTCCAAGGTGCGTCTGGTTGCACTTGTCTTTGCTTGAACTAATACTCCATCAGCGATTACGTTAATGACGTTACTAGAAATTTGCCGCATGGCAGCAGCAATGTGCAACTCTGGTTCTCATGTTTGAACCAAGCGGATTCTGCTGGATGTTTAGTTCAGTTAGAAAGATTCGTCAACTGCGAACCGAGCACAGATGTGAAAAAGATTCAGTAACTTCAATCCCGGTAGCCTTATTAGAGGGTCATTTAGAAGCACTCGTTGTGTGAATGGATTGAGAAGCGCAAACACTATCAGTTACGGTTCCGTTGATTGCGTTGACCAAAGTTCACTTTAATGTGGATCGCGGTCCACATTGAGATTGCGTGCTGCAATCCATTCACACAACAAGTGCTTTAAAATGGCCCTCCAATTAGTCATTAACCGTCGTGCCAAGTGTTGCCGGTCGTGACCCGGTGACTAAAAGTGCGGAAGCCCTAACAAACATCCCAATGGTCCCGGGTTCGATGCCTGGTATTTCTAGCTGATGAGATCAAATAAGCTCGAAACTGGTCGTGGACTGCAGTGTTCTCGGCCGGGCAATAAATATTGATAATGATATTATTAGTTGAGAGAAGTGGAGCAGCTAAGAGTTAGACACAAGAGCAATGTCAACCGCATACTCATGGTTTGTCAGTCGGTTAGGCGGCAGAACTTTCACTCCGTAAAAGACTGCTTCCATCACAAAGCAAAATAAAGAAGATATAGGGCAACTCTGGTGAAACCCACTTGTCGTGGGAAACACAAATGAGGATTTCCCGTGGACCTTTACACGACCTCATAAGTCTAGTAGAGACTTCGGAATGGAGTTTTCGTGGCAAGCGTTTCACGGATAGACAGCTGGCTCGATCAACAGAGGTTGCTTCATGTAAGGGAAAACCCCATTGTCGATCGTCTGTAAGTGCGTCTCTGATCCAATACTTAAAGAAGAATAAGTATGTGGTCGATGCAACCACAGCCACAACCAGAGCGGAAGCTAGCATATTATTCAATGATTCCGCACTCACGAGTATCAGTAAATCACCGAAGAGTGATAGATAAAAGAAGTTTAGAGGCAGAGGAACTAAAACTGTATCGATGCTTTTCGCACAAAGTCCGTTGATCGTCTCCGAAAATGGGGACGACTGTTGACAGTTGCCAGTATAAAAACACCTCTTTAACGTCTCAAATCGTGGTTAATAGATCAGGAAACCCAGCCAACAGAAAATAGCACCATTCAGCACATGAAGAAACGTTGTCGGGTCCGGGAGCCTTGTTTCATTTCAACACGGTGAGCTCACGTCGAATCTCTTCCCAAGTAAGGAATGAGACATTAAATTCCCATGTCGATTCGGATGATGCAGCAAGCCGCAGTGAGTCTGTTGAACCGCTCTTCGGAATGTCCCGTTCACGGGTTAGTCGACAAGGCTGAGAATAGATCAACGGTACATCGTTCTCAGTCATTGTCTCACAAACTGAATGTTGTCCTGGACCCGTGTTCCGCATGAGCTGGAACAGCACTCTGCTGTTCCCATTAGCACTGGTTTTCTCTATCACACAGGGCATTGCTACCCACCAACATTCCTGGTCAATTCGAAGAATTCTTGCCAGTCGTAGACGTTTCAGTGCGTTAAGGACAGGCTGAAACTGAACACCCATAAGAAGCCGGTTGCGTGCTTAGATACAATTGCTCGAGGCCTCGGTAATCCAGTTATAGCCTAAAGTTGGGCGTACAGCAGGCGTCAAAAGCATCCTTCATGCTGCCATGGAGACGATTCCAGTCAGCGATCTGCCCAGCAACCTCATATATCACTGACAACTGGTTGGCCAAATCATGATATTGTTGGAATGCAGACAGCGAGCTCTAAAGCTTAGAGGTTAGGCGCTTTTCTGAAGCGTGATAAGCCAGCGCCAGGTGTGTGCGCATTAGGGTACGGTCGGAGTCAAGGAGTGCATTCCAAATTGAAGGACAGTCTTGAACCGACATGCGGCATATGTAGCTGATGGCGACATGGTCAAATTGGCTATGTATCATCGAGGAAATCGGTGGGCGCCAGGTGACATGATGTGAAAGTTTGTGCTAGAAAGCAATGCTGATAAAAAAGGATCGCGGTCGGCACAGTTGCATGGATCGGTCAACATCGTTCGTTCGGTGTGTCGACCACGAAACGGCTTCCGTGTGTTGTTCAGAGTCCGAAAGGCGACCAACTTGAGCATCCATGTCACCAGCGGCAATCACGATATCAACATTCTTTGCCATATGAAGGAAAGATGGAAGCGGACGGTAGAAATCGTCTTTCATACGCTCTGAGCTGCAGTCAGTGACGAAAAGGCACCTTGTCTTCAGACGGTGCTTGTTAATTCCGAATCACACATATGCAACTGTTCACCGGTATTCTATCGAGGAGATTGCTTTTAACATCTTTGCTGAGGATGATATGGATACCGCAAATGCCTTGAATTACTGACTCATTATAGCCAAATATATACAGGACATAATGAGTACACCGGCATATCGTACCGACGCTTCGCTGCCATGCGATTACCCAAAGTCGAGGGTGGGTTGAGTATATCGCCAATTCGTCTGCGCCTACGCGCATCCGAACCGGTGAACCCCGGCAGGCGAGTAATCCTTTCGGGCACCGGCCGACGCGGACTGTATTCATGGTCGATAGGGAAGGAAGCAGAGAGTGGAAGATTTGTCACGAGGTTATCATTTTGTATGCGTGTTTTAGAGAGACAACCCACACCAATATCAAAAGTGTGAAGAATGAGATTTAGTGCTGCCGCTTGGCAAATGTGATCCAGAATGCAGATGTTGAAAGCCCCCATGAGAAAACAGACCCTTGGTTTGAAAGAGTTGCAAGTGTGGATTGTATCAGTTGCGAGGTTAGATGCAGTCTCTTGTTCTATACACAGGAAAGAGAATTACAAAAGGAGAAAAACAAGGGATATTTGCTACAGTGTCTCGAAAAGAGGTGATCTGCTCCGACTGCCCATTTCAAGAGGGGATTTCATTCAAGGAGCCATACGTCTATCCTTTGACTGAACAGGCGGACCCACAAGACAGTGGGTAAATGGAGGATTTTTGAATGAGTGCACCAGGAGCTTCACTTCAATAGTCTGATACAAGATAGTGGAGAGCAAGTATAGCCCGCGACGGTGATTGTGGAGACCCATTGGGATCTAGTTGAGGACCTAGAACAAAACAGATGCTTCCGGACTGTAGTACGTTACGTACCTGCAACAACTGCCAACCGCAGGTGGAAGTTGGCGGGTTTGCACCCATCTGATCCGAGGATGCCTTGTTTAACACGGGTTGCAGCAATCCGTTCAGCACCAACCGCCAGAAACAACGCGTGGTCCTCGAGCTGTGAGCTTACAACCCGTTACATGTTGTCTTACATGGCTATCGCTTAAAGAAAGAGGATCATGCACCTCTTTCTAACTCATGAAAAGTATGCTGAGTTAGTCTAAAAATGGTATCAGCGGTACGCCGGTACGCAGTATCGACGCTACACTGACACGCGACCCCCGTCAGTCGCGCGTGGGCTGGGTAAACTGTGAGGTCGCCTTATCTAAGCAGATTCGAAGTGATAACCTCCGGGGTACAAGGCAAACGCGAAATTTTTCCGATTACCGGCCAGTCTGGTTTCTGACAACTGACCTGATATGAATGACTCTGTAGGCACTTGAAAAGTGCTACTTCGCGAGGCTCAATGGGCCAAAAAGGAACGTAAACAACAGAGCTATATTAAGGTTCAGTATCACCGAGACGGGAAAATGTGGTACTAGTGTTCAGTGCTTGACGGCAGAAAGACAAGGATGTCTTTAAGTAGAAGGCTGAAGCAGAGCTATGAGAGCAAAATGAAAAAGTACCATAAATATGGGCAAGAAGAGTCGAGAAATAGGTATTGAAAATGCGTACCTCTGTGTTCAGTAACTTGCCTTGATTCATGACCGGCAATCTGACCTTGTGGCACAATTAATAGCTAGAATATATGTCCTTACTTTCATCCGACACGAACCGCCCAACAGCGGCGGCAACACCGGTGCCAGTATCGATGAACTCCACTTCTGAACTGATCGCATTTTGACTGATAACCATTCCACAATCCAAGCACACTAAGTCCGCCCGAGCGCGATCCTCGTCGAACTTCGTGCTGCCACAATGGCTGCAACGCATTGCTGGGTGTAGTATGTGTGTGGTCGAGGATTCTGAGTCCAATGCTGAAATGCAAAACAACACATCGAAGGAGGCTGAATAGTTTCATGACAACTACATAGAACGGGCAATAAAGGTCATCAGCAGTACGCGGTGCAGAGAGGAAGAAGATAGGAACACCGCCCGGAAAGAAGCAATGAACTAATTGCTTGGTTGTGGATACCCAAGGCAGTTAGCAAAACGCCAGTTGCAGCGAATTTTAAGTCCTCAACCACGGCGTTCCACCGAGTGGGTTGGGAGGGTAGGTATTCCTTATAAAGATGGAACTTCAGAGGCCATCCATAGAGTCTTAAATAAAAAAAACAAGTGTAATTTTCCAGAAAGACCAAACGCTCCGATCTACACCAGTGCACTTGAAAGATCCACTTCCAGCAGATAGGAGAACCAACTGCGTCTACAAAATTAGTTGCAAAGACTGCGCATACGTGTACATCGGCCAAGCCGCGAGAGAGCTACGCACAAGGATAGCAGAACACAAGAGACGCATAACACGGTTACCGAGAAACGAGCTTAAATATATGCCTCTACTAAAGAGTTCGGCAGTAGCGATGCACGCGATAGATACCAGGCATGAGGTCAACTTGAATAACGTTAAAATCGTTAGAGAGGTTGTGATCAACTCCGCAGAGAATGACTGCTGAGGCAGTCGAGATTAGCAAAGTGAACAGCTGTGTGAACAGAATGGACGGGGCAGAGCTTTCAAACGTGTGGCGAGCTGTGTTAACCCGACCAGTCTGAGGAGCGCCGGCGGACGGATTCAGGGCAGAGAATGAACATCACACCATCCCCGCACCCATCGTTAACAGGGCTAACGTGTATGACCTTGTAACGCGGACAATTGTGACCGTTCCATGCACTATTTGGAGTGATGCGTTGACCTGTAACACGATTGACCTATAGCCTACATCCCATTCGTCGCGATTATCATCCCAGTTCGCTATAAGTGCTATATACCAATCCTCGACTGGTTCACTCGGCCTGAGGAAGCTTTTGTGTCAAAAGCGAAACGTTGCCCATAAACTATACCAACTGGTTTTTTTCAAACCTTTCTGAAATCATGAGTTCTCGGTCGGTTCCAAGTATTTCTCAATATGTTGATTTCCGTAAGGTATGCCTTAAATTTATCCCAGGCGAACTGGACAGAGTCGGCCATCGAGATCACACAGTTCAGAACTGAAGCCTTAGCTCGCCTTAGTCCGCCCGCCAAATATTCGGTAGTAATTCAACAGCGGTCTCTTGGTGCCTTGAAAGAGCACATCGAAAGGATATGCATGCGTGATCGCTGGACCCTAGAGGTGCACCGTATGAAACGTCAGACACGAAGTCGAGGGACTTAGCGAAAACCAAATCTAAAGTAGATGGTATTTGTTTATCCCTATACTTAGTAGGGACGTCCACGAACTGATGCAAAGGCACTTGGAGAGTCAGCTCAAGAAGTCTGCACCGAATGTTCCTGGCGCCGAATTGCAAGAAAGATCGGCTCAACAGACTTCCGAGAGGTTGAAACCCCCTAGAACTAAACACTTATTCGCAGACTGAGTGCGAATAAAGTCAAGTATCCCCCTGGAAGAACTTCCAGGACTCCTGCATATTGCTATAACTGTAAACTGGGTAGAAGAAGTGCACAAAACAGCCGATAGGACTTCAACAGTCTGATCCGACGACTGGAATGTGCAGGTCCTCAACGTATTTAAATTACAGCTCACATACAGTACAACGCCTCTGTCTTGACGACTAACGGAGTGATCAGTGCGTAGCCAGGTAAACATACCTCACCGTCCGTGATATCCGGAGACAACGACGTTTCAGTGAATGCAAACCGCAGTAAGGATTTGCGTTCCTTCGGGGTAGAAAGGACCATGCGAAGTAGTCGGGGTCGCGGATTTGGCGTACCGATGGGGGAATTCCCCAATCTGGTCAGCTTTCTGACAGTGACACCAAGGAAGCCAGGTGGAAGCAACTTGGTGACGCACAGTTTGAGCCAGTTGATGTCATCCAAGATGCGTTCTCTTGGGAGAGCAACCGCAGATTTAGTAACGTTACGGAATATAACGCTACTATCCGTAAAAGAGTCGCCTCGACGGAGAGTGTTTACCCCACGTGTCTTGGATTCGACACTTATACCAGTTGTTTTCTGTACTGGCAGTGGGACTGTCCCTGTCTCCGCAAACGACGTCGAAGCAATGGTAGCATAGGTTTTCCGCCATATTGCCGGAGTCTTACTAGTTCCTGGGTCTTCAAGCCCCTTTGAAGTTTTACGGGCAGATCTAATCCGCTTCTTCTTTTGGCTCACGGGAGCAGGGGCCGTTGACCTTTTGTCACATTGAGCAGTTACCAACACTTCGTCAGAACGAGCTGGTTCAACAGCAGCCGAGACGGTCAGCATCTTCGGAAGGTTCTCCTGTGTACAACCGTCAGATGACTTTACGACTGCCGAAGACGGCATCTTTCTTGATACCGTGGCAACTAATACTCTGGGTTTAACAGAGGGTTTCTAGTATTTCCGCACCCTATTTTTCTTCACTTTGACCGGCTCATAAGGAAAGTCAGCAATACTACCTGGAGCGTCCAGTAGGATGTGCGATTTCATTACCGAGTGACAGACCCCAGCGGATGGATCGTCAGCAATGTTGCAGTCTAATGCAGTGTCCTCAATGGAAATATTTAGGGATTTCAAAATCAAATCAATTTGCGCATCAAGCGAAGCAATAGAAGCGAACTTGGCTACCGCATTTTCAACAACTGCTAACCTTAATGCCAGCGCGGAAAGTTTAGCACCGGTGATATCCGGGCGCGTCGATGATCTCTGAGCGCAGCATTCAGCACTGCTGAAAAGGAAGTGAAAGCTGGATGTTATCATTTTGTACTGTTCTGCTCTTAGTCCGGTACAGCTTTCGTGATACCAGCGGCAGCAGAGGCCACACTGCATACCGCAAGATAAATCTGGTACTGGCTCTGAACAGTTAGACTGTAAGCAAACTGCACTCGACTCATCAAACGAAGACCGCAGGGGTCAATCCGCCTCGGAGTTTAGCGAAACAACCATGTCCATGGGGAAAACAGAGCAGAATTATAACACGTATACAACAGTAAAAATACCGCAATAAAAAAGGCAAAAACAGGGAGCGAAATGGGATTAAAACGGGAAACAACCGGAAAAAGAACCAGTAAACGCCCAAGACGCTTTGGCCAGTAACACTTTAATCAATACAAGATACCTTGGATCAGAGGAAATTTGACAATAATCAAATTTCGTTTCAAGTGTTTATTCAAACAGTTTTCCAAGTTATTTCAGCTAAAAAGCACGATCAGTATGGCACGCCAAAGAATTGAGCTACCGTGCAGTGCTAACAGGGAGTGTGCCTTCCGACGATAAACGTCTACATCGCCCATATATCCGTATTTTTCCAACTTTTCCTTGAGGCGGGACGAACCTGATGTATAGGGACCAAACAATTCCGCGATAACTGGTGACCCCGACAGAAAAGTTGTTAACATTCAGGTGGGACTGGAACGATAAGAAAATCCCTTCCCTCCTTGAGCGGATCGTTGAGCCAGGAAATGATAAGCTGCTAGGTCTTGATAGATCTAGAGAGAAACACCCGAAACACACCAATTACCGCCCACGTTCCCTGCACTAGCAGTCCCCGCTGTGTAGGTTACGTGAAGAAAAGAAAATGCAGAAAGAAAATGGAAGATAAAGAGGAAGGAAAGTCATTCAAATGAAGCATAACACCAAAGAGTGAGGAGAATGACAGAATATGAACTCAAACTTGGAAAATGGATATGGTCAGGAGTAGGGAAAGGTTTGGTGCTGCCCACTAAGAGCGTCTAACTGACGTTCGAAACCCTCAACCGTAGGTTCAATGACTACACTTTCTGGAAGCGAGTTCCAGCGCTCGATAACTCTACGCGATAACCGAGTTCCCGCCCTGATCAGGTCAGAATGCGGCTTGTGTAGCTTCATGGGATGACCGCGAAGATAAGGCAAGCTAGCCGGGCTAAATAGCCACCTCAAGTCCGGTCCAACCTTCCCTGTTACAATGCGGTAAGTAAGGATTAGGTCTCCTCGAAGCCGTCGGTAGTGTATTGTATACATACCCAAGCTAAGTAGACGCTCGGGGTACGATTGCCCCCGTAACACATCGACCAATTTGGTACCTACTCTCAAAACCCTCTCGAGCTCCATTTTGTACGGAACAAGGCAGGGCGGGCAAGCCTGGATGCATTATTCCAGATGGGGCCGGACGAAAGGTGAGAACAGCTTCACAAATATGTCGGCAGTTAAGACCCCAGACGAACGGCGTGTTAACCACAACATTCTGAAACCCCCACTTGCGGCATTCTTCCATTTGTCACCAGAATGCAAAGACGAGGAATAGACGACGCCTAGGTCTTCCTGGTTGGAGACAAGGGGGAGTTCGACCCCACCGAGTACGTAGCTCGAAGGTGGGAAAGTTGCTCCCATACGAAGGACGGGACACTTAGCCTGATTTATGGGCAGTAGCCACAAAGTAGACTAGTCCCAAAGTCTGTCCAGTGCGTGCTGTATGGCCTCAGAATCCCCAGGAACATATACAATATTCCAAAGCTTAATGTCATCGGCAAACAATAGGGATGATACCCTAAGCTCCCAAGGGAGATCGTTTACGTAGATGGAGAACAGCATCGGTCCAAGGACCGAGCCCTGTGGGACACCGCCAAGGAGCGCTTGCCTAAAGGATAAGCTGCGACCCACACGTACACACTGCTCTCTTCCTTGCAAGAACGCAGATACCCAGTGAAGGGCGCGGCCAGATACGCCATAGGAGCTCAGCTTTTATGAAAGCCTCAAGTGGGGTACCTTATCAAATGCTTTCCAAATGTTTACGGAAAGCACATCCACTACGCGGCCATTTTTCATTGCCTCGGCCCAAGCTTCACGAGCAACCAACAAATTCGTCAAACACGAAAACCCATTCCGGAATCCATGTTGTGCACTACTGAGTAGATTACCTCTATTCAG